CGGCTAGGGCATCCTTGGCATTTTTTTAAAAGTTCGTTCGTTAACCTAGCATCTTTTGGAGAAATGTATTAATTGACCAACCACAAACTGAGCAATGTATATTTTTTTAAAGTCAAATGGTATAGAAAGATTACATTCCTCCCCAGGTTTTGCTTTCACACCTTTGCTTTTATTAAAACAGTCGAGATTGGGACCTTGCCTCCCGGGGGAGAACTGAATGCAGCTTTCCTAAATGATAGCACCCCCAGGGATCTGGGCATAGGCACCCAGCCCCACCCCTACTATCAGCCATTGGCCCACAGGCCTGTGGCCACACCTGGTCTGGAAAGGAGCATCCCGTACACTCTTAGTCTGCTATGGCAAAGATCAGAAAAGTATTCACTTGCCCATGACTCAAGGTTACCAGCGTCCAACCCGAGCCAAAGTTGCCTCTTCCCTGGATGTTTGACAAATGCATTGGCCACTTACAGATCCTTTGTGAGGGAGGAGACAGAGTTTGTTCAAGTCTCTGGCCTTTAACAAGTTTCATATTGGGTTGCCTGTCTTCCTTATCTTTTTGCTTGTAAAGGTTCTTTAAATATTCTGGATCGGAGATCTTTAAGAGTTATGTGCTACAACTATCTTCTTCCATTCCGTGGCTTGCCTTTTCAAATAATGTTTTCGATAAAGAGAAGTTCATAATTTTAATGTAGTTCAATGTATCCATCTTTTCCTTTCCATGTCTTAAGAATTTTTTTGTCCATTCCAAGAATGTCTCCCTATATTTATAATCTTCTCAACGCTTTGCTGGTTTATCTTTCACATCAATTCCATTTACCTGGAATTGGTTTGTATGTTCTGAAATAGATGTCAAGTTTAAATTTTTATATTGGTATGTCTGATTGGTATAATATTATAGGAAAAAACACCGAGACCCCACTCCTTTACACAGACATTTTTGTCATGGATAAAATACCACATATATGAGGACTTGTTTCTGGATTCTCAATTCTGAGATTTTTGCCCATTTATCTTGCTCCAATACCATGCTGCCCTTGTATCATCACCATCCCCATTTTACAAATGAGTAAACTGAGGCAGGGAGGGGCTATGTAACCTGCTCCCTCCGTAATTTTCTAGTTAAAGGCAAAGCTGGAAATGGAACTCAAGGAGTCTGGCTTTTAGGTCCATAATCTCAAGTTTCTCAGCCTTAATTCTTGGAAATAGCAACTCTGTGAGTGTACTCCTACAGCTTAACTAAAGGAAAAAGGGTGCAGCCTAGGTCGGGGCCGCCGCTTCTTCCCAGTCCCACCACTAGAGGGCGCGGGTAACTTGGACTCGCTAGGGCCACCCTCCTTCCCACCCCTAGTTACCTTTGAACCAATCATCAAATATTTACCCAAAACGTAGTGCAAAGGGAATGCAAAAATTGCCTAATCCAGTTTCCAAGCAGGACTGGAACAAAAAGACAAACAGAACTGATCTCTGTCGTTTTCAGCAAGGAAAGAAACCTCCCACTACCGGGCTAAATTCTCTCATTCCTAAACCACTTTACACTAAGTCCTTTCTTAAAACTCTTACTCTTCCCAACATAGACTAGATTCTTTGTTCTACCTTGAGTGGCAACAAGGAGCAACTGTTTGGCATCCTCATGTAACCGCTCTTCAGAGATATTTGTAAATAGCGAGGTATATAGCTGTGGAGTCAAATCTCAATTCTCATTTCTCTCAAAGATTTAATAGCACACGATTACATTTCACCTTCTTAGCAATTTACACGTTCCTTTGTTCTCTCCAATTTTTCCATGTCTCCTTTAAAGTGTAAAGTCCAAAAGATAATGTTGCACTCCTGTAAGTCTGTGCCAGACTTAATTCTTACTTCTTGAATGTTACCCTGCTAATATACACAGGCAATAAGTAAACATTCAATAAAATAATTCATCTTTATCAACTTGATGAATTATATCCTTATTCAAGACAATGACTCAGCAAAATAGAACATGCTCAATATTTTGTTTAAAACTGCCTGGGCTGAGGGCTCAATCCGCAGTCTGGGGGGTGCGGGAAGCAGCCTATCAATGATTGTCTCTCATTAATGTTTCTAGCTCTCTTTCCTTCTTCTTTACTCTCTGAAGCCAATAAAAAATATATATTTTAAAATGCATGCAATACTGCACCTGTGCTTTGAATAAAGCTATAAAAAGGTATTTGTGGACAAAGTCTATGAGGCAATATAAAGATAAAAACAATTTATTTGTTTGTTATGGGGGATTGATGGTGATTACTTTTATTTATTTTTCATTATTAACATAATTTTGAGTGTTTCTTACAAATGAGTAAAATCTTTCATTCATTCGGCAATGACTAAAGCACACATTATGTGTAAGACCAGGGGTGAGATGTTGCAAGGAAGACAAAAACAAATTCTGCTGTTCAGAACAATAATAGCTGTCACCTTGATGCATCTATATCTTAGCTATTATCATCATCCTTATTGTACAGGTTAAGAAAGAGGGGAAGAGAGAAATTAACTATCTTACCAAAGTCACACAGAGTCAAAGTAGAACCAGAATTTGAACACAGCCATTCCAAATGTGCAAGACATTGGGCTTAACCACTATACAACACTGCCTCTCATGATAGCCTAATAAGATGGGGATAAATGGTATTTAGCAAATATTTATTGTACATGACAGGTACCAAACTAGGTGCTGGGAACATACTGATGAGCAAGATAATCACAGTCCCTGCCCTCATGGAGGTCACAGTCTATGGAGAAAGCATCATGGGAGTGCAGAAGAGAAAAAGATGAGCACCCATATTTGAAGCTATAGGGAATAACCATCTTCTTAAACTCTCTGTTCCATTCCTAGAAGACCATCAACCTTGTGGAAAGAAAAGGGATAGGAGAGGGGGAATAGAAAGCCTCAAAAGAAAAGTGACAAGAGGTAGCAGCTATTTGTTCAGCAAGCATTTGGAGAGGGAACTCAAAATAAGAATAGAATCAGGACTAGGAAAACCTTTAGGTTCCTGCCAACCGGAAACTCTATTCCTGTTCAACCTTTACTCCATTAAGTGCCAAGCACTGAGCCAGACCCCGGAAATAAAACTGTAAATAAGGCATGGTTCCTGTCCTCTAAGACCGGTAATAAGAAGCAGAGAACGAGATGGGGGCACGATGCAGGCTGGGACCAGACAGCAAGAAGGTGACATTTATACTGAGCAATGACATCGGGCAAACTGGAATTAGAAAGGAGGTGGGGTGGCGAGTGTTACCCAGGTTTGAGGGAACAGCTTGTGCAAAACCCTGGAAAGGAAAGGGAGCCTGGGATTAAAATGCCACTCTGGTGTGTAGAGAGATGCCAATCAATGGCAGCGAATTTCTAAATTTCTTCATTACTCATTCCCAGGATTAGGATGGGTTTCAAGCATGGGCACAACAGCGCCAAAATGAAAACAGACTGTTCTCCACTTGATAACCCCAGAGTTCCAACATAGCCAGACCATTGTAGCTTCCCATCAGCACGTCATTGCAGTGTCCATATGCTTCTCTTGCCATTGTCAGTTCATCAGCAAGGCCAGTGCTGGTCTCCAAAGGAATAATAGGGCTCCATCTGGCCCCACCCCCGGGTCATGAGTTGCCACAGTGTCCTTCACCTCTCTAAACCCCGCAGGAAATTCCAGTAGTGTTTGTGCACAATTGTACCATTGGGTCCCCTAAACATAGAACTAGAAGTAAATTCACCTGATGGCATAATTACTTTCTCAACCCACATCCTCCACATTCCCAGGTTCCACTCCCTCACCCTCTACTGCCGCCCATCCGGGCTCTCCCTCCCCTCCTCAGACTAGGCCACTTGTAAGTGTCAAGTTGTCAGCACAGGTGGAAGTATAGCTTTCTGGGTAAAAGCAGAAGATTAGGAATCATAATGACCTGGCTGGAGTCTTATGATATTGAACAAGTCACTCAACCTACGGCAGCCTCAAATTTTTCTTATCTGTAAAATGAGAACAACAACTCTTTTGCTGTGCTTTGTTGAATGAATGCAACTGGCTTGGGATTGAAAGATGAGACAGAGGGCCAGAGACCAGGACACAAGTTTTATTAGAGGAGAAGGATCCTGCCGGGCTGCCTTGCAAAGGAAGAGAACACACGTGCAGGGGTGAGCACGCCTTTTGAGGGGAGGAAAGGGAAGAAATGGGGCTTAGTGTGCTCAGCACTCTCTGGTGGCTTCATATAAGGGACAGGATTAGGCATTTAGGGATTTAGGAATGGGGGGCTTAGGGTATTTGGCAGGTGCTGATTGGCGGTTCAATGTACAAACCATTTAAGGTGCCTGGTTAGGAGTTCAGGAATGTCCGTGCTTCAGGTACAGGTTACGTCATACTCAGTCCATCAGTTGGGGGAAGGGATGAGAGTAGTATAATAAATGAGACAGTATATATAAGGAAATTACCACGTTGTTTGGCATAGAAAATGCGCTCAATACAGTAAATGGTGGCTGTGGTAGACTGTTGTAGATGATATAATTGCGGTAGATAATGATGACGACTTTGATTACGTGGTGATGCAGGCCGGAGGGCAGTCAGTTCTGCAGGTCATTTCCAGCAACCCAACCCTCCCCCCCACCCACTCCCCACGCCACCTGCCCAAGTCCAGGCAGCTTCTTCCAGCGACAGGCCTTGAACAGGACGCAAACAAGAGATCCGCTGTCCCTGGAGACTCTGCTGGGTCCGTGCCCAGATCTCCGCGGGGAGCTGCAGCCAGCGTCACCCTCCCCGCCCGCGCGCCGCCCGCCGGCCCGCGGACACATGGTGGGAACGTGAGGGGGCGGGGCCTGACTTGATGCCGGCGGACCAATGGCCCGGCGGGAGGTTCTCAGCCAATGGCAGAGACTCTTCAGAGCTCGAGGGGCGGGGACACGGGGAGGAGCGGCGCCGTCATAGGTCAGTGGGCGGGGCGGGAACCGTGGCTCTGACAGGGGCCCAGCGGCTGTGGCCAGCGCAGTCCGGGCGGTGATGATGGCGGCGACAGCGGTGACGGCGGCGGCGGCAGCGGCGGCGGCGGCCCCGGCGCCGGCGGCCGGCACGGAGGGCGCCTCCTCGGTGCATTGGTTCCGCAAGGGGCTTCGGCTCCACGACAACCCGGCGCTGCTGGCGGCCGTGCGCGGGGCGCGCTGCTTGCGCTGCGTGTACATCCTGGACCCTTGGTTCGCGGCCTCTTCCTCTGTCGGGATCAATAGATGGAGGTGAGGGGGTCCCGGGGTGGCGGTCGCGGACTCGGGGGGACGCAGCCTAGGCTCTGGGGCTCCCCAAGAGGGAGAGGTCCTGCCCGCCAGTTCCTGCCACAGCGGCCGGGAGACCCCAGGGAGGTGGGGCCGGGAGAGGGAGCCGGTTCCAGGGAAGAACCCGGGACCAAGGAAGCAGTTAGTCCTCGCACCAATGGCCGGGAAGGGTGGCCCGGGGCTGGACCTCTGACAAAGGGCTTCCGCGCTGTATGTGATCCTCTTTGGGCCTCAAACGTTCCTGGGGGACAGAGGTCATGGCCCCCATTGTAACAGGTGAGACTCTGTAAGCCTTAGAGACACAGAGTTGACCTGCCCAAGGTCCTGTGTAGCCAGTGATGGGCACCAGCGCTCTTAGCGCTCAGGGAGGGGAGGAAAGGAGATAGGAAGTGTGGTGTGAGGGTTAGGTCCGGCTTCTGAATCTATGGCACAAAGATGATGGCATTCTTCAAGTCGAGAGCCCATTGCTGGGCTCCTGGTGGTCCTTTCTAAGCCTCTGGTTTGTTTGAATGTGTCCTTTCATCCAGCCTGGCTTCCCTCCTCTGCCCTGCCTCTGAAGGTGTCTAGAGACTTTGGCTTAGCATTAAATAAGGCCAGTGCCGGTCTCCCCTTTATTATAAACAATTCAGTGAGAGGCACAGTGTGTCCTGAGCTTGAGAGCAGTAGGAGGTTGCTAGAAGAAAGGAAAAGAAGGGGGGGGGGGGGAGAGGAACCCGTCCTGGCTGGTCGCTCAGTAGTTAGAGCCTCAGCCCTCGGCCCAAAGGGTCTTGGGTTCGATTCCTGGTCAAAGGTACAAATGAACTTTGGTTGCAGGTTCCTCTGCCCAGGCAGGGGTGTGTACAGAGGGGGGCAAGCAATCGATGTCTCTCTCTCTCTCTCTCTCTCTCTCTCTCTCTCTCTCTCTCTCTCTCATTGATGTTTCTCTCTCTCTCTCTCTCTCTCTCTCTCTCTCTCTCTCTCTCTCTCTCTCTCTCGTCTCCCTCTCCTTTCTACCCCTCTCCTCTTTCCTCACCATTTCCCCCTCCTTCCTTCTGCTCTCTCTAGAAATCAATGGAAAAAAATATCCTTGGGTGAGGATTAAAAAAAAAAAAAGAAGTATCCAAACAAAGTATCACTTCCTCCTGCCTCTCCTCATTAGATTGGTTCTAAAGGACAGTTAAACCACTATGGATTAGATTTTTAATAACTGATGCGCTAAGCAAAGCAGTGATATCAAAGGCCCTCTTTGATGACTCCCGGGAGATGAAGTCCACAGAATCCTGGGAAAGGAGTGACTGAGATAGATGTGTTTTCTCTGTAACCAGTGTTGAAAACCAAGCAGTTTTGAGACCTCGTGTGCCATTCTCTCTTTAAAATGTCTCTCAGCAGGCATTTGGTTTGTTTGCATTATTCTGGGGGATGTTTGCTTGTGGCCTTGTTGCCCCGTTAGGCAGGCTTATTCCCGGGATACAGTGGCTCTCAGCTCACCATTCTTGCCCCTCCAGGGTGTGTGCCCTTCCAAGAGAGTAAGCGCTCCTCGCGGTAGGACTATGAGATGCCCCCTCCTGCCCCACTTATGTAGAGGGAATGACTAAAATTAGTCCCGTGGAGAGCCTGCCCACACCATTTTCAGCCTGCTCTATTGCTCTGCCTCTGCTCCGGTTTCCGTAGATAGGAGATTGGGTTTGACAAACATCCTCAAACGGCCGTCCCTACCATGGACGTTAAACCAAGCCTTAGACTTTGCCTGTCTTCTTGTGGCAGTGTGCCAGCTGGAGCAGAGTCAATAGAATAAGACTATCTGCTTGCTTCATTGTCACAAAGGAGTTTCTCGTTTTATTGGGTCGTAGGGGTTATCGGATAGGACTGCCTACTCCTATGTGGTAGTGGAGGTTAGAAGTCAACAACAGCCTCTAGCTGAGTGGATAGAGTATTGGCCTTCGGACTAAAGGGTCCTGGATTTGATTCTGGTCAAGGGCACTGTGACCAGGTGTTGGGCTTGATCCCCCGTGGGGGGTGTGCCAGAGGCAGCCAGTTAACTGATCAATGATTGGCTCTCATCATTGGTGTTTCTATCTCTCTCTCCCTTCTCGGAAATAAATAAAAAATATATATATTTTTTTTAAAATTCAACAACAAAAATGTTGATTAAATTCAGATTTGCTAGGAATAAGGTATTTATGGATTTTTGTGTGTGACCCTTTTGTGGTTGTGCTTTCCAGCCACTGAAAAGAGAAAAGGATATAGATAGCAGTTGATGCCTGAGTCCAGTCAGAGATGTGCAGCAATGCAGATATTAATTGAGCAATTAATGAGTATGAGACACTGCTCTAGATGCTACTAGGGACACAGCGGGGAACAAGCATTGTGGTGACCAGAGCTCTGGAGCCAACATTTTAATGGACGAAGACAAGTAAACAACTGTAACTTAGTAGAACTAAATGTCATGAAATAAATAAAAACAGGATGAACTAGAGCAGTCTTGCTGCACATGGGAATCACTGGGGGATCCTTAAAAGATGCCTGGGCTCCTTCTTCCCCCAATTCCGACCTAATTGTTCTAGATTATGGCCTGGGCACTAGGGTTTTTAAGGCTCTCGTGTGCAGCAAAGCCTGAGAAGCACCGCATTAGAGAACCACAAATTGAGCCCTGCAACTTGGTACATGTTGCAGTGCATTGGCAGGAAGTCTTTAGTTTTGGCATTCAGAAGAAACAGGTGAAATAATTCAAAGCAAGTCCAATATGATAACTGCTCCTGGGCCTGGAAACACGCCTGCTACCCCCACCTAACCACGCTCTCTGCTCCCATAATCGGATGGAGGGCAGAGCTGCAGGCTGCTTTATGCACACGGTTGGGGGTTGGGAGAGTGCGGAAGCCCGCAGTACCTCTGCATAGCTGCAGTGTGTGAATCTTCCGGTGGCTATTTCTGGATCTGGGAGTGGTCTGGGAGAATTGTGCTGCAGCATGGCGACCTAGCTCTGCAAACACTCAGCTGCTGCCTCTGAGAAGCCTGCTAAGAAAGGGTGGGCCCTGGGCCATCTGCAAGAGGGTGGGGGGAGGGCGCACAATCTCTATTGTCCTCCTGCACCTCCTACACTGCCTCCTTCACAGCATTTTGGGCAGATGAGTCAGATTAAAATAACCATGAATGGCACTTACTAAGAGTAAAAGAAAGACAGAGACAGGCGACCAAGAAATACGTGTATTTATCAGTATAGGAAAAGACCAGCATACTCCTTGTCTTGGTGGTAGTGGGAAGCTTTTGAGCTAATTGTAGCTGTGTCTCGGGACTTTCTTTGGTTGAGCACTAGTTGGCTAAATCCTTTATAGCCTTTTTATTGTTGTTTAATTCTCACCTGAGGGTATGTTTATTGATTTTATTTTATATTTATTTTTAAAAATATATTTTATTGATTTTTTACAGAAAGGAAGAGAGAGGGATAGAGAGTTAGAAACATCGATGAGAGAGAATCATCAATCAGCTGACTCCTGCTCACCCCCAACTGGGGATGTGCCTGCAACCAAGGTACATGCCCTTTACCGGAATCGAACTTGGGAACTTTCAGTCTGCAGGCTGACCCTCTATCCACTGAGCCAAACCGGTTTCGGCATGTTTATTGATTTGAGAGAGAGAGAGAGAGAGAGAGAGAGAGAGAGAGAGAGAGAGGAAAGAAGCATCTATTAATTGCCTCCTGTTCATGCCCTGGCCCGGGGATTGAACCCAAAACCTTTTGGTGTACAAGATGATGCTCCAACCAACTGAGCCACTCATTGGCAGCCCTTTGCCATGCATCTGTAAAGAGGTACTGCAGTGAGGACAAAAGAAAGGGAAAAAAAGATGGGTTGTGAGCAGCTTCTAGATTTAAATAGATGCCCAAAATAGGCCCTTGTAAGCTACCTTTCTCTCCCTAATGCAACTTAGGTAGATGCTGGCAACAATTCATCTCACTTTTTACTTAAGTCATTTTCTCCCTGGCTCTGTGCTGCACCTGCATTCGGGAGCTTTTGGGACAGAGGGAGTTGGTAGAAATAGAGTGTCGGCCCACATGGCTCAGAATTAATAAATGAAGTAAACTGCAAATTCCCAAGAATGCCCAGTGAGAACAATGTGTCTCTCTTTCCAGCACTGCTGGGCTGTCAGCGACATGGGTGGTTCTTCCCTGGAATGCAGTCAGCAAGAAGGGGACTAAGAACCATAGTCTGTTGCTGGGAAAATTTGTTTTTCTCTGAGCCGTTTGCACTGGTACTGAGCATGTCACTTTAAGATTCTGCTGCTGAGGAAATGTTTTCATTTGTCCAAAAGAAATGAAAAGATTCATCTTCATCTTTCTCTTGCAATTAGGAAAGAATGAGTATATTTTTACCTGAGTGATACTTAGAGATCAATCTGTGATATGGGTTGTGAGTTTGTGTTATCCTTTTTGTGGGATTAATAAGCTTTGTTACTGCCAAAAAGGGTTTGGCTCAGCAGATAGAACATCAGTTTGCGGACTGAAGGGTCCCAGGTTCGATTCCAGTCAAGGGCATGTACCTTGGTTACTGGAACATCCCCAGTGCTGGGAGGGGGGATGCAGGAGGCAGCTGATCAATGTTTCTCTCTCATCGATATTCCTAGTGTTCTATCCCTCTCCCTTCCTCTCTGGAAAAAAAATTAATAAGATATAAAAAATATAAGCTCTCTTACTTAGGAGAAATTAATGTCTATTAATATTCTCTTTATCTAGATTGAGTGAGCCTATCATATCATCGTAGTTGCATAAACTTGGCTTGAAGCAGAGAAACTTGATCCAGGGTGACCTGGACCCAAAAACGAATTCACTATCATTCTCTCTTCTCCTATTAACAAATAAAATATTCCTCAACACAGAATCTTGCCAGGAGTCAATTCCAGCATGTCATAATTACAATAGTTTTATCAAAAGGTTGATGAAGCTTAGGAGCTCAACAAGGGCTAAATCACATATGTAATCACATGTTGGAACA